AAAACATTGAATTGGATGAAGCAACAAGTTACATTTGAAATCTCTATTAGAATTCGAAACAGAATTTCAACAAAACAAACTTCTATTTTCTAAATTTGATCAGATCAATATTGTAACAGAATGCAATCAACACACTGGTATCATATCAAAGAAAGTAATTGGGAGAAAAAATTGGGAAAAAAAAAAGGAAAGGAATTAAGATATAACTAAGTTAGAAGCACAGTTTTAAAAAATGTTCCTGAGGTGCGCTACAATGTGAGGCACATACAAATTGCCATGAGACATGACTTTCTTTAGGGATGATTGAGGCATACGCTAAATTGATTGAATCGTCAGCCTCAAGGCGCTTGCCTCATTAATGAAGTCTTGAATGCCTTGGGTCCCTCTTATTTGAAAACCCAAAAATTCCATTTGGTTTGACTTGCTTCGATAATCTATTCATATCTTTAATATATTCTAATCAGCCATTGAAACTAATTGTTTAATTACTTGTTAATATACTCTAAATAAAATAAATTTTTTTGAGTAGAGACGAACCAAAACACAAACAGATAACTTGTAAAAAGAAAAAGAAAAAAACACAGATAATGGCACACAGTGACACCAATTGTGAAATTGCTCAAATCTCGCACCACTTCACACCAGTGACGGCAGCATCGCGCCGACACAACAATAGAGACTTTAAGTCTTTGCAGATTAATTGTGTGCTTTGTTTGGATTGATACTTTAAGATAATCTATTGCTTTGGAAATTTAGCCCTAATTTGTGCCCCATTATATAAAAACTCATCTTCCTCCAAACTCATTTTCAACCACACTTCTCCCAATAAAATAATTTTACATGTAAACCCAAAAATTTTCCAAATTTTTAACCAAACATTCTAAAAAAAAAAAAAAAGATATAACTATTACAATGCTTATTTTTATACTTCTGTAGCTTTATTACTTTAACTTTTTTGGTTCACAGAGGTTTAAGCCTCACCTCCTTCTTAGTACCCGTTTTCACCTTTTTAAACAATGGTTAGAGTCCACAAAAATGAACAAAAGATTGCAATAAAGTTGTAGCGACAAGTTGTCCCTAGAAGAATCAAAACAACTACACCAGATATAGGCCCATGTAATACATTCCACCAAGTCAGTATCCTTTATCGGTTAATGTAATGAAAGACATAAGTGGCAGACCACTGCTCTTCTAAAAACAAAATGCTAGACATATGACGACTTAATAATAAAAACAAATCACTATTAGAAAATTTTGTACCATCATTGCTACATTTGTAACTGCCACATCCTATGACAACTTGGGATAAAAAATTACGATTTACAATAATGGAACAATTTTAATCAGCAATAACATACCATAAGGAACTTCTTGAGATCCCTGCCAGATGCAATTTCCCTTAACACAGCAAGGGCACGATTGATCTCAATCCTAAGAGCTGAAGCAACCTGAAGAAATGGATCCTCCGGAAGGTGAACTTCTGGTATATGTGGAGGACGCCTGCAAACAGAAATTCATGCATACATTATCAGCAATGCACAACATTAAGCAAACAATTTATTATAGATTCAAAGACTTGGATGAACTCACTTGTATATAAATGTTGATACACTGGACCACAAAAACAAGACTGTGAGGGCAAGAATTGAAATGTGGCAGACCAGAGTAAGCAAATGGTAGTCAAGTAATTCGAAAAGGACCCAGGCAGCTGTTACCCCACCAAGTACGGCAGCAGATATTTTCTTGTTCCTCCACAATAATACGTCAGCAGCTACATAAATAAAAAAAAAATGCCACATTATGTTCCAAGAACAACGTAATATGCGTCCATTCTACCATCATCACTATCCTAATTACATAATTCATTTCCGACAAGGACACAAATTCTAACCAAAAAGACAAACTTGATCAACAACATAAGTCGTTCCCTTATGATTGTTCTGTATATTTACTCTCCCGCTTAGTTTCCAGATTTATTTCGTCAGCCAAACAGCATCCACAATATCTACAAACTCACAGATCAAATCTAAGAGCCATAGACACTAACCCAATTAAAAAATTGAATCTAAGGCGAGGTTTGCATTTCATTCAAAAATACGAGTTTAAAATTTCGCTAATCTAATGAATTTTAGAACCCCTAAAATCCTAAGAACACGACACAAAAAATACGTAGTCAGTGAATCACCCTTTTGACTCTCTACATAAGCAATAAAAATTTTTACTTTACTAAAATAGAAAACTCACAGTATATCCATAGATACACATTCACAAATCATTAGAGGTTTCTACAAACTTAATTAAACAATTCATCAATGAAAATATTAGAACACATCTCCTCTAGAAAAACTTCTAAAAATTTACTATATACAAAACGATCCACAAGTGTTAATTCATGTGTTTTGTGTGCAGGGTTAGCAAATTAGAACATACGTTTGCCTCCACCAAAGACTTTGTGGACAGGTTCTTCCCGGCCGAACAACCGGTAAATCTTGGCCTTCCTAGATGAAGGAGAAGCCGACTTCTTCTCGGAATCTGAGTCTGACGAATCGTCGCCGTTAATCCTCCCCGCTATCTTGTCTAACAACGACTCCTCCTTCGGATCCGAATTCTCTACATGATCAGCCATCCTCAAATGGATTCAAATACCAAATTACGAAAACCCTAAAATCAAAATCGACACAGACTCCCAGCAACGGAATGTTGTTTGTGGGTGTAAAATCAATAGAATCGGAAGCGAGAGGGAGGGTTTTAAGTACGAAGGTAGTCACAGCCTGGAGTTTGATTAGGAAAATTTCCATTAGAGGTCACCATCTTTGATTAAATGTTCATTTTAGTCATTCGACCTTTTTTAAATTAAAATTCACCACTATATTATTTATGCTTAGTCCTAAGGGAACAATCCTTCATAAAAGTCAAACTTTTTTACATGATTAAAGAATTCTTGCATTCATGTGAATCATGTCCAACTAAAGCATCAAAGGGCGATAAAATGTCCCACATTCGCTCCGCTCCACGTTGTTTGATCGTGAACCAATGCGAGAATTCCCTAGTGGCGAGGAACATGGCTCTAGCTCCAAACTCATTCTAATTCTAATTTAAATTTTATTTTTTTATTTAAATTTAAATCAATTTTAAAAAAATAATTTTAAATAAACAGCTAAGTGAAAAAATGATGAGAAATGAATTTTAGGCCCTGTTCGGTAGGGATTAAAATTCAATTAAAATTGAAAATATGGTCGTTATTGAGTCTCACTCTTCTAATAAAAGTCAACAATAACGACTATTTTTTCAATTTTAATCTGATTTTAATCACTACCGAACGGGCCCTAAGGGTCGTCTTAGCCTTGTCCCACCTAGTTACCACGATACCATCCATATAGAAAAAAAAAATTCAACATAGAAAAACACGCTAGCCTTATAAGAAAACTTCAAAAAAACTGAGATGAAATTATAATCGTAACAAAAGTGAGATAAAAGTATTAAAAATGGAGTGACTTAAAAGAAAATATCACTCAAATTTGGGTGACCTCTATGAATATTTTATCCATTTTCTATAACTTTTTCAATTAGAGTCTATCAAGGCGTGACGGCGTTATGACTTGAGGATATGACGGCGAGATTTATTTTGAAATTGAAATTGTGTAGGCGGTGAGTGTGTTCTTTTGCATTATGTGGGGTGGGTCACCGAACAGGGACACGTGTCGACAGAAAAGTTAATTGACAGTTGATTAGAGTACAGGACGGTGACTTTCTGTGGTGAAAAATTGGACTTTTAACAGGCTTATTTGTCCATTTTGCTTTTTTATTGGGCCACGCCCAGTAGTTGGAGCTTTCTTTTGGTTGCCAACTTTTAATTACAAATAAATATTTTTTTATTAAAAAAGAGACAGTTGACTTATTTTCTACTAACTAAGCTTCTGTTTGATAAAAATTTAAATTTAAAGTGTAATCATATATTTTATGAGATACACAATTTTTTAATTACGTATTTCATCAATTTTTATTTTAATTTATTAAAATTTTCATAATCAAATTTTGTACAACAAAATAAAGAAAGAAATTTGCCCTGTGTCAAGGACGAGGTAGGGACGAGAATCAAGGTCTACACTTCAATAACCACCCTGAACCCATGCCCCTTTTTTACTTTTATATGATACCAAAAAAAGTCATCAACCGCGCCACTTCTAAATACAAAACGGGCTCCCCATCCTACCCCTACATCAGCGGGGAGGTGTGGAGATGGGACGGGGAAATCCCCGACAAGCAAGTCTGGAATGGAGTTTTTGCCCTGAATCTATCAATCTATCATGTTGTCATTCATAATTGTGTAACATAATGCGGAGGATGGAGATGTTCTTAGACCATAGGATAATTAGTGTGAATAACATTTTTTACGAAATGACCCATATTATCCATATTAATTAACCATAGTATCTTTCATGTACATGAATACGGTACACCAAACATGACCTAAAAATCTACACTTTCACTAAAAGGGTAAGTGCCTCGAACAATGCAATGAAAGTATGGTCGGTTTGGTATTGTTGGGTTTTTTATATAAATAATCTAACTGTAAGAGAATCGAATAAGTGTTTGGTAAACTTTTATTTCGAAATGGTTGCAAATTCAAAATCTGCATCTGAATGTTTGGCAAATAAAAGTGCTTATTTCTGAGTTTGTATACAATTACTAAAATCGTCATTAATAGAATTATAACTTTTATTTTCAATTTATAATAATAAGTATTATCATCAAATATTTTTTTTAAAAATAATATATTCACAATAATTATTTAAACTCAAAATATTAAAATCTATTAAATTTCAAAAATTATATAATAGAAAAAAAAATCAACTAAATTTAAATGATCTTTTATCCATCAAACTCTGTTTCTCAATATCTTCATTTTCATGTCATAAGAAGAAATATCAAATAAATTTAAATTATTTTTAATTTGATTTATGGAAGGAGAGATTTTTTATTGTTGGAATACAAATAAACCTAGGATAAATGAGTTTCCTTTAGTTAATTATGGTCATAATAGGTACTAGTGAAAAACTAAAATCAAAATTTGAGAAGACGATTTCGATTTATTTGTATTTTAGTTTTTAGTTTTGAATTCATTTTCAATTATCTATTTTGAGGGTGTGTTTCAAAATTACAAAAAAATGCGTTTGATTTGTCATTCTGAAAAATTATTTCTCAAAATAAAAAAACTGGAAAACACGTTTTTAGTTCCTGCAGAATGAATTTATGTACCATGCAATATGCAGTGGGGATTTGTCTTTACCTACTAAGTGGATAACTGTTAATTAATTTCAAAATTGGAAATGTTTATATAACACTCCAATGCAATATTCAATAATGTTCCAGCACATCGAATGTCTATAGTTCAACAGCTCTTCCTTCTCACGCAGTCTTCTCATCCACTTTAATCACGCAAATGACATCCTCAACCTTGATAAGAGGCAAGAAATAATCTTTCCATGTATCTTTCTACAACACTTGGTTTAGATGATACATAAGCCGAGTGACCTTCGTCAAAATCTACACCTTCTTGATGACATCCATGAAAGAAAGGCTTGCTACACAGGTCACATCATCTAACCCTAGCAAGTTGACAGGTGAGCAGCCAAAAGGATTTGGAAGGAAGCGACAGTCCCAAATTGAAGAAGAGAGTGTGTGTGTGAGAGTGAATAATCAGTTGGAGAAAGAGATTGAAGGGCCAAAGTATTTGATTTTGAGATTTAAGAACGAAGGAAGAGAAAAAAATTACCAAATTCGTAAAACAGCGTCTAATTCTTTGACAATCAGAAATTGGACTATAAAATCAATCTCAAACGAATCCTAAAATATTCGTGCAGTCTACGTGCAAGAAGTTGATTGTAGTGCAAATTGAAACATTGCATGGTGGCAACTTTGTGGGACCATTTGTTGGTCTCGACTATGTTGGTTAAGTTTGAAATGTCACGACATAGTTCCCCATTGAGTCGTGGAACTTTGAAAGCTATAATCACCTAAAAAATGTAAGATAGTCGTCGCTTATGAATTTTAATATCAATGACAGGCATGCTGAAATTTTCTGAATATGTTAAACCGTTTTTTCATTTGTGGTAGAATTAGAATTTACGTGATAGTACTAAGTTCATATAAATGGACCCAAAACACAGTGTCTCAAACGGTGGAAAATGTAAGGTGGTTGTGCTATATTACACTTGGTGCTTGTTTGACAAAGCTAAAATTTGATTCATTAAATTGCCGAGCATTAGTGAATATTGTGCACGAAACATGCACTCAAGTTTCTCCTTTGATTGTCAAAATGCTCGATAGCTAGAAATGTGCCATAAAATGTCTATCCGACAATGCTAATTTGGGTCATATGCTATAGGAATGTTTGTCGTGCAATGGAAATTGGTGAAATGGATTTATCCCAATTTGCTACAAAGTGTCAGTTCGACATCTTCTGGCCATATATGTTGAAATTGGTGATATGGATTTATCCCAATTTTCCTACTATTCCAAGATTCACAAAGAACCCATTTCAAATGTATATCTCGACCGATGAGTGAACAAGAGTGTGCAAGGATTCCTAGCATGTTCATATTTGAGGTGGTTATTGCAATTTTTTGCATGTTTGGAAGTCAATTTGCAACTTCGCACTTTTGAGGTCTAAAGTGTAATTTCAACGACATATATTTCTGTAGTATAAGAAAAAATACTGTTATTTATCACCACGGTCATCATCACCCATTAATTAATAGATTCAATGGAATGCATAGATATATGATCCATTTTATTGGACTTATCATTTATTGCTAACTAAACATGATGATGATGATCATCATGGTGCTAAATAGCATACTCTATAAGAAATAGATGATTTGACTCATATTATGTCCATCGGGTGTTGGAAGATTTTCGAAATTTGATTGTGTAAAAAACAGCTTAACATAACTTAATTGAATTTGTAAAATGTAGTTTTGAACTTAGCATGTGCGTACACATAAAGTCATACTTTAGCACTACTAGTGCTATATAGCGTTATTCTTAAAACAATGAAACGCACCTCTAATTCCCAACGAGTTCTATCATGACTCCCAATGATTTTCATTTGACTTTTTCCCTAGCATTCAGTGCTTCCTAAGGACTTTTGTGTGAGTAATGATCATTCTTTTACGTCGTATATATACTGCTAGATCTTCAAAGCGTCTAAAGGACCTCATCTAAGGTGTTATAACAATTTTTTTATGTACTGTTGTATCAAATTTTTATATGAGAGATTATGAATTCATCACATGTTTTGTAAAAAGGGTTCGATAGCACACGACATGATTAAAGAAGAAAATAAAGTTAAAATCTCATTCATTCCAAACATGCATTCGAGGTTTCTCTTCTTTAATTGTCAAGGTACTCAGGCAACACGAAATGTGCCACAAAATGTCAATCCAACAATGCCAGTGATGGAATTTAGTCATAGCCTAAAGAATATTCAACAATGCAGATGGCCGGGCTTCCTAATCGACTACAAATGTGAGTCTGACAACAACTCCAATGCCAGATTTGAGGAATTTTCTTCAAAAGGTTTGTCCCAAATTGAGCAAGAATGAGTTCAAACTGTTTCTTATTAGTCTACTCTTGAATAAGAAGTCGAGGCCAAAAAAATGTCAAATTTGACGTCTAGACAGTGAGTTAGCAATAGCATCTAACGCTTCCTTCCATGTTCATATTTGAGGTTGGTATTATTATTGCCATTCTTGGGATCTTGGGGGTTGAATTTGCACTTTCACACATTTTAAGGGACTACAGTGCAATTCTATTCTTAACTTTTTTTTTATTTGAAAATTAGTTCCTAAAAAATTAATAATGAAGTTAAGTATTTCAAAAAGTGCAAAAGCAGTAATGTGTACGGTGTTCGTGCAGTCTATGTGCATATTTTTAGTTTGTCATCCTTGCGTTCTAAAATTCATAGCTCCTAGAATATAAGTTCATTAGTTGTGATTCTTATACTCAAGCGACCCTGACTCCATACTACAAGTGCATCTTGAATCAAATCTGGTATTCATGGAATCATCGAACTTGTGATCACCCTATATTCATAATAGTTTGTTTATCTATTTTCCTCATTGTGTGCTTCCCAAACCTGAACATAAGCCTTTTTGTGTATTGTTCTCACTTTAACTGCACGAAGGCCATTGAAATCAATAACTAAAATTGACACTTCAGTCATGTTGAGAAG